ATGATAAAGAGGGACCATCAACAAGCACAGACCGGTAGGCTCCGCAAGCGCATCGTATATCCGCTCTCACGATTTCCTTCCCGGCACGTATTAAAGGCTCAAAATCAGATCAACTGACAACATGAGACCTTCTCCAATTCTATGAGGGGGTATATGTAGGGTTAGGGCGCGATTGAATCAACTAGGAAAGAAAAGTAATCCCGTTGCAGAGCCGAAGCCGCAGGACCGATGGAGGATGTGGGGAATAGAGTCTCCATGGAGCAATCGGTTTTCTCTGGTCCTTTTCAGCACACTGAGATCAAGATAGCACTAGTGGCCACCGGCAAAGTCAGTCAGACGGACGGGTCCTCGCAGCAGACAAGCCGACCATAGGACGCTCAGTCAGTTGCGATCTAGAATCAGCACCAATCTTAGTTTCGAGTTCAGGGACATTCTCGGAAATCAGTTCTCCGCACACGAGCCAAGCCCGCTCAGCAGACGGATCTTCCAGAGACATCTCCGTCAGCCAACGGCCTGACTTTTCCAGTCGCTCAAGAATTTTCCGATGGTCAACGCTTCCTGGCTTCTCTACAAGCAGTAACGCATAGAGCAGGATCGTAGTCGACTGCATTAGGTAATGCAAAAGATACCAGCAAGGAGAGACCCGGTAGACCCAAGCAAGATCGGGTGAATCGGGCAACAGATCAAGCATCTGGTCTGCCGACTCCACACACATCATTGCCATCATCTCACAGAAACTTCCCGGAAGTTCATTGACGTCGGTCGCCTGGGAAAGGTGATTGAGGCAAGGCTGGGTTATGAGAATCTTGGCACTGTAGAAGCGAAATGCCAAGTTTGTCCGCTCTCTCTGAAATGCCTTCGTTCCCTGCGACAAGTGAAATGCCGCTGGGAGTCTCGCAAGCCAAGCATCCACCTTGCTGTTCAAAGCAGAGATGGCTCCCTCGATCTCATGCAATGGCTTGCGAGCTGCCCCTGGAGCATACAGAACTTCAACGGATTCATGCATAATGGCGGCTAAGTCGACGATATACAGGAAGAAAAGGGCAGAATTGGGCATCGAGATTAGAGACTCAAGGATACCAGCCACATCCTGTTCGCTCTTGTTACCCTGGTCGGGCACTTGGGCGCCGGAGGCTTCAGGCGAGCCTTTATCATCGACAATCCGTGGGTTTCCGGGGCATAGAGATTTCACGAGAGCATTCCGAACTTCGGGAAGGAGGATTAGCTGTTCCTTATCGTCGAACTCTTCTTCTGTGAAGGGCACCGGCAGTGGTGTTGTGCAGAATCGGTCGTTGATACAAGGCGGGCGACCAGTCATAACACAAAGCGAGCAATCGAGCAAATAAAGAGACCACCAAACAGCATATTTCGTTTCTTTCATGACGTTCCTGATGTCGCTTTCGTTTCGAAGGTGGAATCCCAGGGTTAGAGCCGAACGGATGGCGTAACCACAAAGTTTCCAGGATCTGAGCCACACACGATTAGACTATCACTGTACCCAATCATGTGCAGGGGTTGAATGAACAAGAAAGCGAGCAATCGAAAACAAATGAACGAAGCCAGAGGGGAAACCAAGGGAGGTTAATACCGATTCACTTGCCCAATGGACAGAAGGTAAAAGGATGTTAATCCCTCCACCTGCACCTGCTGCGAATCAGGATGTTCTAATAAAACCGTTCCCATCACGCCTAGTTTCTGTGCTCGTGCGAAGTAAAGAGCACTGTCATCAGGCCACTCTTCAGCGTCACTGGGTTGAGGGTGGGTGTATTTGGCGGCAATCGCGAAGATCAGATTGAGCATGGCTAGCCACTTCCTTCCAGGCCCAATCCCAGGCCCAACGGAAGGAGAATTGTAGTAGAGTGTAAATTGTCTCATGATGAACGATCTGCGAACTATCGGGAAGGATGCATGCACGACTGTGAAGTAGGTGTCCAGGAGCTGCTTAGCAATTGCAAGAGGGGGCCGTTTGATTGGGTCCACATCTTTCATGAGAGGAATCTCTGAATCGTCCAAGTAGAAGCTCGCGGAAGCAATAGAGTCGCCATGGTTCTCTGTAGCAGGGCTCGATCGCCGTATGAGTCGCTTCAATCTGTACAGCCATGCGATTTCAGAGTGTTCACCCACGAACCCCATGGCCTGTCGGTCGAAATCTTCACTAGTGTAGTCTAGGGCACCTCTCGTGAGAGCCGGGGTCACACTGGACCCTGACGCATCATTCGTGACTGGCGCTGTTGATGCAGACGTTGTTACCTGAGGGTCAACAGGCAGGTCCTCATCGATATTTGACTGTGTTTATCCTGTCAATACAACTCTGAAACCATATCCGATCAGGGAAGAAGACCACGTGGGCAGTGAAGATGGTAAACGGAGCCATGCATTGAATGTAAAGAGAGAGCCTTACTTCACTTAAAAACTGCTCGACTTGCCTCGCCGCTTCCGAGTCCAGCCTGGGCGATAGCTCTCGTAACAGATCCTCATATGCCTTGACCTGGGTTGTCAGGTCATTAAGCTGCCTGGTGCGCACGAAGTTAGAGACACTTGAGAAATGTTTGCATCAGGGTTTGGGAACGCTCACTTGGCCAACTTTTCTCGCTTCCGGTCACCGTAGGAGCAGCGGATGCCCGCTTCCTGGCACCGCTGACACGTCGGGCGGTGACCACTACATTTGGCCTTCTGATCGCGACAGTTCTCGCAGGCTCGACTAACACGTCCGCTACTGGTCCAGGCAGTCGATGTGGCCGACCTAGGAATACGCACCCTTCCGAAGCGATCGCATTCGATGAGCTGCGAGCCAGTCGATGGGTTCTCAGAGAAGCCAGAATACACCACTTCGTAGGAGCCGGAAAGGCCATGAGGTTGCTGGCGATTCAGGGAGGTACCCAGGTGACTAAACTGGGAATCACTTTCCAGCAAATCCGATGACGAAGATGGAGTCTGAGAAGGGAAAGGGAAATGAGGGGGACGGCTGTTGTCACTCATGGTCAAGGACGAGCCGGGAATCCCACCACGGCCCCTTCGTCTCGGGCCTCAACAACACACAGTCCGACGAACCCAGCGACCTAATAACCTGGCGGTAACGATAGTGCGAATGACACCCGGCAAAACTGAAGTATACTAACGGACTATAGGCCAGGGGCAAACAATAGGAACAAAGCTGTTTTGGGGGTGGTGGTGTAACAAAGCGTCCGGTACAAAGCACTGGTCTCTTGTTGGTCGAAAGAGACCCAGAACCCAGCCAAGGTGAAGTGTGGTAGGCTGGAGACGACTGCCGGGTGGGCGTACTTGCCACAGTTGGGCGGAAATCGGCTCGCGCCTCCCGAGCACCATTGTTTGGCACCATAACCAAGGGTTGTATACCGTGGTAACCCCCAAATTTCCCCCTGCAATCGTAGGAGGCAAAATTCATCCGAAATGAATGACAAAAATTTGAAAAAAAGGGGGAAAAAAAAGAAAGTCCATTGATATAACAAGCGGGGTCGACATTTCGACATTGCTGCAAGAGTGAGAGAAAAGAAAATTGGGGGAAAAATGAAGAGGGGAAAACAGATCAGAGAGGCCGCCATCTCGATCGTCTCCAATTTGGAGTCAAGGTATACGACCGATGGTTGTTGGAAAGGAAGTCGATCTCTCCTGGTTTCCGACACCTACTCTCTTTGTGACCTTCAGCAACCTGTGGATTCAAGGCCCATCTTTGCACAACAAAAGTCTGGTCGGATGTGAACCGTCTCTTAGTCCTGCAGAGGGGCTCGCTCCAGTTATGCCAAGATCAAAGGATAACCCGCTGTCTCGCGCAGACAGCATTGCAAAACCGTCTCAGTACTCGATAGATACAGCTGAATATCTCGGATATCAGATTCGATGAATGTTTTTTTCTCGACGCCACCTGTACCCACCGGCTTCTGGCACTATACCCTCGAGGTTTTTGGTGTTCGAATTGGTGGCGGGGATAATATTTAGCAAAGATTCCGTTGGCTATCAGTGTCTCGTGGCGAACAGGACAACAAGCGGCACCCAGAGGGAGATAACCCATCATCCCAACAAACCAGCGGCGTGGCTATGAGGGCAGAATCCTCACACAGACCGTTGAGACTGCGGAAGATGACGAAATCGATGGCGTAGGCTGGCAGCGTTGAAGGGACAGTGTGTTGATAGCCTTGAGACAGCAACGCTCATTTTGTCGCGGTCATTCTGCCCCATGTGAGCAGGTAACAGGATGAGAGCCTCCGTTCGCTCGCTGGTATACACCTCTCCTTATTTTCCATGTTCCACCTCTGTTATTGAGAAAGTCTTGCTTATGTTTCAAACCGATGCTCGGGTACTAATTTGTTTTCATCAGTCACGCTGAGCAGAGAAAAGAGCCGGTGCGGCCACGTCACAATTCCCACAACAAGCCTGCCCACTTCCCCAGATATGCGACTGTCGATATTTGAAAGAGCGGAAGAGCCGTGTGCTGATGGTCGCTTCTTTCGAGCCGAGAGCCACCGATAGCCCAACTGACCTGACCCGTCTACCGTTTTGTGACCGACCAGCAGACACACCATCACCTCGTACGCATGATCCGAACATCTGAACAAGTCGTGATTCGAACATACGTGCTGCGGAGGCCTGCTTCCTCGAGGGTACACCGACTTATAAAGCATGTGCACTTTTCTTGGTCTTCTCGTGAGCCAGCGGCACGTTGCTCGGGGCCCGTTATATCTTACGTCGTCTCAATGGTCAATGGGACCATGGCAGGTGGTTGAGGTCGCTTGAAACCCACGACACTTGTGTTATGAAAATCAAGAATATAACATAAAGCCCAAACTGTCACAGGACGTTTTAGCTTTCTGAAGTGTGATGCTATCGTGAGGCTCCCCAACACTTTCTGTCAATGCAAAGTCGATCGTCAACAATCATAAGAGGACTTAGCGGAGCAGATCCTATCAACCCGGAGGTCTCATAGTCCAGTGAATCCGATCTAATTGCGTCAATTCCCTATCACTAACCATACTTCGGAGGGTGACAAATGACGGGCAAGGCCAGCCAAGGGGTCACATCGGTCACGAAACATGTAAGTCAAGGGCTTTTTTGTGATGCGCAAAGGATCCTAACGACGATTTCTTTGCGAGAGATCAGGACACCAGGAGAATTGAATAGAACTGATGATGAGTCGACACTCTGAGGTGTAGCGAACTAAGTTTTGACCGTGCTTGTTGCCGTCGCCTCCTCTCCTTCAACCATGGCTCCCGGGAAAGCTCGGTGATCTTGTGACTTTCACACCCTTCCACTGAGGACGTTTCGAACAGACCGTCACCCCGTGTGTTCAGGTTTCGAATACGGGCTCGGGCCTGGTTGATGAAAATGGCCTGACTGGCGATAGTGAGCCAGCTGCCCCGCCCGACCGGTGGAAACTGCAGATTGACGCACTTTAATCAGAGGTCAGGACTATAGAGGAGAGACGAGCTAGTAGCTTCTGACTCTGAATAACAATTGAAGTGCATACCTGAACATGCCCCTTGTGCCAACGGCTAGCCTGGAGAAGAAACGCACTCCCCCGAGTGTCTCATGGCGATGCGGGAACCAGCCCGCACACCCCTGATCTCCTGTAGGTGGGCATCCGCACCTAGACGAAACTGAAGTTGATGAGAATGATTGAATTCTTGTCAGCGTTGCCAGGCAAGCAGAGACAGGATTGACTAACAGAAGAAGTGGCAAGGAGTGACAGGAGAACAAGGGAGAGAGGAAGCAGAAGACGAACGGGAGGGGAGGGAGACAGTCCTGCCCAATTCACACAGTTGAGAAAAGCTTGGGCCCTGCGCGGCCATCACCAGACCTGGTCAAGTTAGACAGCCACGTTGTGCGCGGGGGTCACATTGGCTCGCCTCTCATGCTGCGATAGTTAGCGTGGGCTTTCGAGCTATTGCTAGCCATGATATTGGTTTCTTCGACCTCTCTTCTTTGGGGGGACGGGTTCTTGCATCTACTTTCCAGCAGGCGTGCGCTTGACTTGCATAGATGGATGGGATTGATGTTGGCGGAAGATTGACTTGGCGTGGAAAAGAATTCCGCGGAGACTCCATCCATGATTGTCACGGTGCCCCCACACATATGGAACTAATCAATCACACTCACCCACGTCTGGGCGGGGCCTTTCTCATGGATTCGCCTGGATTTTCCCCATTGTGGTTTCGTGGTTCCCCATTAAAGTGCCTGAACTGAAAGTTGAATGGAGACAAGAGGATGCGAGGGGATCAGGGGATGAGGGAACTGGAGGAAGAATTGGGGTACCCAAGCCGGGCCGAACAGGAAGGATAAGAAGGAGAGAGTGAGCGAGTGAGTGAGTGGTGAGACGGAGACGGAGAGAAAGAGAGAAGAGAGAGAGAGAGAGTTCTTGCCGTCCGGTTGGAGGTCGAGAAATACGAACCTTGTTAAAGCGAGGCCTGCAAATCTGCATTTTCAACTTGAATTGATCCTCACCAGCTCGAACACGTCGCGAATCCTCCATTGGTCAGAGCCCACGATCGTCAGGGCCTTTGAAGCTTCGACGTTTGCTCATTCACTCTAGTGCTCAGCTCAGTGGAGAGGCTGGTTACCCTTTCCAGTGCCTAGGAAAATTGATTTTAAGCGATTGTGGCATTCTTCCTCTCTGCTTTTCTGCTTCTCGAGATCGAAATGAAAGAGACCCCCCCATTGCGACCAGGAAAGAATCCAGAGGATTAAATTCGGGCTTTTCCCTTCCCCTCTCCTATTGAGCCAATTCCATTGTTGCTTGTCATCTGCGACCACTGCCTTGATTTTGTTGCAGCACCCCCGCCGATAGAACCAGGGATTTTCCCGCTGGCCGAGCATTCATTAACTCGGCGATTGACATGGGAGAAGCGGCCGAATCTGCTACTCGGTACTATTCAGTAAGTTACCAGGTCAATTCCAAACCCGTCTACTAGCGTAGCGGAAGAGGAATCCGCACACTTGAAAGAAGACGATCACCACTCAAGCCGGAAGAAGGAGCTCTTCACCCGATGGTCGGATCTACAACACCCAAGCAGACCACATGGGGGTTCCAACTGTGATGGGCGGGCTGAGAACCCGAGCGTGCTGTGAGTGGGTATGGAAAGTTTCCAGCTGGGACGATCCGCTGGACTCGCAATTGGGTTATAACCGACCCGATTAACTGGTTAAATAAGCAAGGCAGCCCATGTCATTCGTCCTTGAGTCGCGCAGCAAGAATTTGAGCGAGTCAGTACTCACTAGGATTTTCAAGGTTGTTAAGGATTGTTTCCCGTGCAGGGATGAGAGCCTCTGAACGGGCAGTGCCAAACATCTGGACACCACATTTGATAGGCACTGGGCAGTCACACGGACTGCGGAGGGGGGGAAGGGAAATGCCAGGTGGAACCACCACAATCAACAATTACCACAACCACCACCAAGTCATCTCCATCGTAGAGGGGGGGAGGGTGCTTGCAAAGGTGGCGAGATATTGGAGCTGCTACAGAGCAGGTACAGTACAAGGATAAAAGGTCAGCCAGCCACCCCAACAGCCAGCCAGCCAACGCGACTGGAGATCACATAACTTACACACACATACACACACAGTTTTACTGAATAGTATCACCGAATAGTCCCGACTTACGGCCGTTACAAAGCTTGCAGAATTCCCAAAGGGGCGACTGTACTACGCGCAGCTGGATACTTGAAAGTTAATTCTAAGTTGGAAGCCGAGTAACTTCACCTATCGTACATCTCCGACGGGAGTCGAACATTCCATTGATTCATCGATCCATAAATCCATCCATCCATCATCCAATGCCCTTCATGCCTAATCGGGGATCGGCCGGAAGGTCGGCAGAATTCACCGATTGCCGGCCGAACTCAACTTCAACTCCTTCCAACCGGACACTGGCAGGAACTACTCGGTACTAACTTGGAACTCAAAAAACTACTATCAACCACGTACATGACGATCATCTACCGATCTCAAATTCCTCTAACTTCCTTTTTTAACAATCACCTCTGTCTCGTCATGACTGATGAACCGTAGAAAACATAGCAGAACGACCGATGAGGTCGAGATCTCCAAGCGGCCGAAATTCATCGCGTATGTTTCCCTTCCTCTTCCCCCCCCCCCTTGCAGATGGCATCCCAGCAAATCGGCTGATGAGCCAATCTAGATGCCAGCGCTGCCATTCGCACAAGATTAAATGCTCAGGGGGTCAGCCGTGTCTCAAATGCCGGCAGGTTGGCTGTGCCGATGAATGCGAGTACACGCCTCGCGATCGGCAGGTGAAAGTAAGCGAAAGGTAGGGAGGACTTTCCATCACATCACATCTCACGCTTCCAGTTTACACAGGGTTTGATCTAATGCCAGCATTATTGCAGCTTCTTGCAACGCCTGCTAGCGGAGAACCAGCGTCTGCGCGAACAGCCCCGAGCGCCGGAGCATCCGACCGATGCGGACCCAGAGGGGGGCGGCGTCTCGGGGCGCGGGCCGTCACGAGTGCCGGCAGAAGCCCCGGACCTGGAAACTGGGAATCCCAACAACGTGCGCAATCCCTTAATCGGGGATCGCGCCTGGTTCCATCCTTACGATCCCTCCGCGCCGCCTATCTTCATTGGGGAGGCCGCCTGCACCGCGTTTGCGACGCGCTTCCGGCGCTTCCTGACGGGGAGTAACGCCACCGCCCACATCCCTCGCACCCAGTACGTCCACGACGAGAGCATCAGTGCGGCCACCGCGGGCGAGATTGGCTGGCCGAGTCTGCAGCAGGCCCGGCTGTTGCTGAAGATCGCCCTGCGGCAGATCGGGTTCATTTACCATCTGGTCCTGCGCAAATCGACGACGGAGAAGCTCGAGGAGATCTACCAGACGGGCGACTTCGAGGCCAAGGTCCACCAATGCAAGTTCTTCGCGCTCTTCGCCTTCGGCGAGGCATACTCCATGCGCAATGAATCCTCCTCGGGGTCGCGGGTGCCAGGGACCAAGTATTTCGCGCGTGCGCTCAGCCTCGTGCAGGTGCTGCCGGAGCGGACGAGCATCGCCCATTTGGAGACGCTCTTGTTGTTGGTATGCATTCGATCCAGGCTGCGGGGACTCTGCTAATGATCCAGTCTTTGTTCTCCTATTACCTGAACCGGAGGCATTCAGCCTACGTGCTGATCGGCAGCGCGATGCGGCTGGGATTGACCATTGGTCTGAACCACAACATTCCCGAATCGCAGCTGATCGACCCGGTGGAACGCCAGCACCGCGTGCGTATCTGGTGGACGATCTACATCTTCGATCGCATGTGGGGCTCGAAAATGGGAGTGCCGTCTCAGATCCTGGACGATGATATCCATCTGGACATGCCGTCGACGATCACTCCGATCGCCTTGCACGAGGAGCAGTTCTCGGACACGGAATACTTGAAGGCGAACATCAGTCTGGCGCGGATTGTTGGCGAGACGATCGCCAAATTGTACAGTCGACGCAAGTACAGCGAAACGTTTCTGCAGCGCGTGCAGAAGTTGCTGAAAGCGCTGAAGAACTGGGTGGAAACGCTGCCGGAGCATCTACGTCTGAACCAAGAGGAACCGGAAACGAGTCGGACACCGGTCGGATCGTTGCATTTATCCTTCAACCAGGTACGTACGCAGTGCACCGAGGTGTCTTGGGTTGCATCTACCTAACTCACAACTCAGTGTGTCATCATCACCACGCGCCCCACCCTCCTCCACATCCTCATCAAGCTCAGCGAGCCCGCGTCGGAGGAGATCTCCCAGCCCGTGCTCACGCTGGGGGAGGCGTGCGTCCACGCCGCCCGGCACACCCACTCCATCATCCTGACGCGGTGGATCAACGGCTCCATGCCCACGTTCGGCTACTTCCACGCGCACTACCTGTTCTCGTCCGCCCTGGTCCTCGCCATGTCCAGCTTCACGCCGATGGGGAGCGCCGCCGACATGAACTCGTTCGAGACCGGGCTGGAGGTGCTCCGCTCGATGAGCGAGAACGGGAACCTGGCGGCGTCGGAGTTCTACCAGCACCTCAAGGTGGTCCACGAGTGTCTGGGGCGGTACCTGAGCGACCGCCGGCGGAGCCAGAATGCGGCCGCCGCGGCGACGGCGGCGATCGGGCCCGGGGTGGCGACTGCGGCGGTGGTGTCGACGACGGTGGATGGTGGGCCGGCGGCCGCCGCGGCCGGGGTCGAGGAGTTCTTGCCCGTGGAGCTCCGGGACAGCAGTGGGGGGTTCACGACGGCGATGGCGTTTATGGAACCCACGATGCAGGACTTTCTGGCGCAGAGTGATTTCGATCTGGGGATGCTGCAGGTGGATACGTATCTGAATGAGGGGGGTTATGAGGGGATGACCAGTAGTCATTGACCTGTAGAGGTTCTGGGAATGATACCTGATGCACTAGTGTAGTGATCTAGGGGAGACATGATCGCGGAGAGCTTCGGATGGAGGCCAGATTGCGGAGGGAATACCGCCCAATCCCCCCCCCCCCCAAAAAAATAGATCCCCACATTACGAACCACCATCACCACAGCGATCATTAAAGGAACCACTTGCCGGGTCAGACCATAGGTCGTCGCTATAATATCGTCAATTCCGTGGTAAGACCCCGATTCATAAAGATGAACATCATCTATGCTACAATCTACATTCCCTTTCTAGAGTTTTGGTCATGATGAAGATCCCTGAGACCTGCCTACTCTGCTTCCAACATTTCATCCACTGCATATCCTGTGATACGGATCCTTGTCAAAATCTGGGGAGAGATCCTCGTTCTTAGCGTCCACACCTTGTTCATGGTATATCCTACCATACCATACCAATGCTTACCTTTTACCAAACGGCTAGACCCTCATTCAACCTGCTTATTCAGGGTGAACAAGCTAAGTCAACTCTATCACGATCGATATGCAGTCTCTATATTATTCTTTATACCACTCTTCATGCTTGGGAGAACACCACCAACCCCTCTATCTCATCTCCACCTCCAAACATCCAAACATTACCCAATAAATCATAAACAATCATCAATCATAACCTCATCACCCACTCGGAGTAATCACGGATCCGCCCCAACCCTCCTCTGCACCCACCGCTGCATATCCAACCCCCACCTCGTAATCAGCATCACCAACACGCCCCCGAAGATCGAAAAGAAGACGCCTAAACAGTCACCACAGTCAGCAATAACCCCATCACCCAAACCAAACACCAGCCCCCCCCCCTCAAAGAAGAGAACTCACAAATCGTAAACGTCCACCCAACCCCAATGGCCCCGATCAGTGGATCCACCGCGGCGCTACTCCCCGCCGAAAACAGATATTGGATGATGTACTTCCCACT